TCCCTAGTCATATAGCGATAAAATGGTGTGGAACCTGCCAAATCAGGGAATTTTTCAGTTTCCTTGTTCTATAGACATCTATTTATAGGTCAATCCACCTCGGCGGTGGCCAACAAAGCATGGGTCACTTCATTCTCCCCCAAAGACCAGCCTTTTACTGGTTACTGTTCCACCACAGGATTCTCACCCTGAATTACTTACAGCAAAGAAGAATACAGTAAAATAAAGTTAGCAAACTGGTGTATCAAGTGTAAAGGAGCATGGAAACAGCCAACCACATATTCCTTCATTGTGATTTGGCTGGCTGGATCTGGGCCTCCGTATACTACTCTTCCACACAGTGCCCCCCACCCGAAGGGATACCTTCAAGAGTTGACTCACTGTCCCTCTCCTGACTTCTGGGCTACTCCTTTGGAAACTTCTATGATGGACCTGGTCTGGACCATTTGGATGGAGCGTAATAGAAGAGTGTTTGAAGGAAAAGTATTATGGTTCAAGCCCCAGTGGGCAGATTTATGTCCACCGTTATTGGATGGGTTATACTACAGAAGGAATTTACATCTTTCTCCTCCTCTGATTTCCTATGAAACTGGTTTTCCATTGCGCCATTTGCTCCCATGAGTATTCCAAGGTCCATAGACTGGTTCTTGCCTGAACCAGGTGCCATAAAATTGCGACTTGTGTTCTTGTGGTGATCCATGTAGGGCAGGCACAGGGGGTGTATACAGGAATAGCTCTTCTTCCATTCTCCTCTCATTCTCAGGGCCTTAGGCCAACATAACTGCAACTGTGGCTTAAAAAACAACCCTTCTAACAGGGCTTAAGCTGTTGCAACAATTGTGGTGCTCCTCCTGGTGGAAGGTGATTCTATTAAGTGCTATCTAGGAGTACCTCCTTGAAAAGGATTTTTTTTCCCCAAGGAATGCTTAAGCTTCTAATGAGATTTGTCCTAGTCAATATGTGATTACAAATATTTTTCTTATTTCAAGAAACAAGAAAGAAAAACCAGTAAAGATCTCACTAGAAGATTGAGCATGCCTTAAGAAGGAAAATCCCTTTTCTTCTAGGTCCTCCTAGATAACATTTATGGCGTGTTTGTTTCGTGGAAGAGGGGGACTTTTAAAGAACTCTCTTCCACACACTTTGGAAGCCATTGCTTTCATAGTTTAGCATGGAAGCAGCAGCTTCCACAAAGCATGTCAAATTGATGTTGTTTTGGAAGCCGTTGCTTGCTTCCAAAACAACATTGTTGTTCTCGCAAACAAATGCGGAAGTACTACAATTGTGGAAGCTGTTGCTTCCACGAGCTAAATCAATGGCTACCCTCATGCTAAATCAATGGACCTTTGACCCACAAGCATTCTAATGCAAGAGGCTTATGATTGACCCATCAAAGCTAGCCAAGAAGTAGATAGGGTGATATGCTTATTTAGGATTGCAGTTGTGCCTTTCAACGACAAGTCATATCCAGCCAATTAATTCTGGCAATGACTTTTGCCTACCTATCATAGGTACCAACACAAGTAGTGAAGGTTCCCGCTCCAGCACATCCACATGCCATGCCAAAATAAGATTCCAAACAAGACAAGTCAATGTGTATATGCTATGAAGAATGAATTTGTCAAGATTAAGGCCCTTGCCTTTAAAAGCTTGGCCTATACATCCACTGGCTAATAAACTTCACTGGACACAACCGGCCTCGACAGGCTATTCGTAGACCCACTCTGGCAGATGCGTCTTGGGACCAAAACTCAAACCAGTCATGTGGTACGGATCCCACTTTACAAGCCTCAGCCCAAGGCCACAAAACCAAGGCTAGAATCTTAAGAGTGCACTAACGCATACTGTCAACCTGCGCTACTTACTGAGCCCACGCTGAAGACCTCGTTCATCATGACATGTCATAAGATGCTCTAAATCACATAGAGCCCAAAACTCCCATTGAAATTGAAAAATTTGAAGAAACATGAGTGCCTATATAAATAACCCAAATAGAGCCCAATATAAATAGTCATGTGGGGTACAAGAAATAAATGAATAATCAGAGCGAAAGACCTATAAATAACCACGAGTCCCAACACATACAACTGGGCACGAAAGATGGCCCTTGCCCATGAACTTGGCAGCCACCAGAGTATCTGATTCGTCAAACATGGAGGCAAGCGAATGCCCTTGCAGACTCCCTCACAGAGAAGGGTGCTGATCGCACAACCCTGGCATCTCTCTGTCAATCCTTAAGGAGTAAAATAGGAATCTTAAGGCACCCTAAATCCTGTCCTGTATGGCACTATTATGGGGCCTGAACCATGAATTTCTTTGTTCTCATTGGGACCAAGATTAATTAGAAGACATGTCATCCTTTGTGATAAGCTAAATTATTTATTTCTTAACCATGGATTGTCAGTTCTCTTTCCTTTTTTTCTTGATTATTAGATGTTTGGTCCAACAATTTGCTAGACATCAAAAATAGTTCTTATAAGACTAAAACACTCTCACACTAAAAAAACCATATCTTTTTGCTATTTGTCATTTCATCATTTTGGATTGTCACTAGTTTCAATATGAACAAATTTTGATAAGAAAAAGTCTTCAAATTTTTGTTTGCATAAACTTTGGGTTCAAATAAATGTGAACCTGATGAATATCTATCTAAACCGCATTTACTCAGATTTCTGATATGTCCTAAACACTTGATGTTCAATCTGGAAATGAATTAATTTCTAATTGAGAGGGTTTTCTGCAGATACTGATTATCTATATGTTTCAAAAGGGAAAAAATACACTATACAGGTAATATATTATAGCTGTATACTTCCCTTTCTGAGACCTTTGTTGCACATGGATGCTGGAGATAATCTGTACCTCAGCTTGAAAAGCTGACATCATCCATCAACGATGGTAGAGTCCATTTTTCACTTGCCACATGTGTAATAGACTCTCCTATTCAAGATCTTAGTTCTTTTGTTTGTAATCCTGAACAAATATTGGAGGTTCACAGTGTTTCAGTTGTATGCTCAAATTTGAGGGATGGAGGTTGGGAGACAAACTTTTTTGTGTTCCTAAGAAGCATGGTTTAAAATTGTGGTATCCCGATCTATTTATCGGTGAAACTATTTATGGGCAGGTGACTGAATTAACTGAATTAGTAATGTGTTTGCATGGAATCCTTGACATGTGGAAGGCCAAGCAAATTGGGAAAGGGTTTCTTCTACAACATCGATCATGGTAATTAGCCTAATTTGATCCTCCTATATTTGTACATCCCATGCTGGTTGCATGTGTGGTAAAATCGTACACTATATCTATAGTTAGGCAATTATAGAATGAAATCCCATTGCTGGGTAACACTCCTAAAAAGGTAATTGCTGTACATATATATACAAAGGTTACTTCACATTTCAATTGGTTTTTTACTAAAGAAAAGGAATATATTAAAGATTATGATATCTTTAATGTGTTCATGCATAGGCATTATTAGTGGTGACATAAATAATTAGTATTAGCTTTGGTAAATAATAGTTGGGTCCCGACTTGTCAATGCACAAGAAGTGGCAGCTGCTGTTACACATATAGACTGATTTCTGCTAAAAACTAGAGATAATTTCGTGAGCTTCATCTCTCAGAACGGGTTGTGAAGGACTGGAGGGTGAAATCTGATTCTGAATAATCCTTGTATTTTGCTTATGGTTTTTCCCTATTATCTAAGGTTTGATCTATTAGATTTGTTTTAGTACTTTAAGTTCGTTCTGAGGTTCGAGGACCAATTCGACCGAGTAATTATGATCTTGTGGTATGATGCAAATATATTTTACATACTGGTGTTGTACAGTAGTGGATCAATAGTGAAATCAGATAGTCCTAAGATAGTTGTAAATACAAGATTATATAAATATAGAAATATAATATGAAGAAGATGAAGTATTACCGATTGTGACGTTGTGAATATATGCATCAATATGCTGGACGCATATGTTATATGTCCCATACGAGCTACAATAATATTTATGGTTGTGGTAAATGGGATACTTGTGTCTGTATCCCTATTGGGGCATCTTAGACCTTGTGTACCAGTTATTTTCGTTGCTTTTGTTGTGGTTGCAAGCACATTTTTCTGCGAACTATTTCAAAGACTTCTGGCTTCATTTGTGGAGCCCCCATTTTTAAATGACACTGAAATATTGAATAGAATTTCTGATAATTTCTTCCTGGGCCAATTAACGATAATGGATCCTGTAGATCTGCACCATCGGAATATCCCCCCCCTTATTCCCTAATGGTGGATGGTGGAGAACTCGAGATTAACTGTAATTCTTGATGAGCAACAATCTAGTTGTCATGGTTAATCTCTTTGCATTTGTCGTCGTTTATCGTATGGGCGATACGACGATGGTGTATCATAAATCATACTTCTGTTCTCTATGGTATTTTCACTATAAGGTAATTATTTGTTTATTAGAGTCTGATCTTCAGCATGTGGTTTGCCATTTTAATAGTTACTCTTTACTTGCATAGGATCATCACTGTCCAATCCGTGGATTATACAGATGAAGAGTGACCTCGGGCCAGTCTGACTCGGTCTCCATGACTGTCGATTCACATTGATTGGACGGTGATGACCTTTCACATTGATTGGATGGTGATGGCCTTTTTTTGGTAAATTGGACCTGTCATTAAAAGCCTCTGAAAAAATATTTAATGTGGTCTATAAAATTAGAATATATATCTATTGTAGAGTGAGAGAGAGAGAGAGTAAACCTAACTTTTTACAGGCCATGACCCACTTACTTGCAGCTTTCTCTCACTTTTGAGAGAGAGAGAGAGAGAGAGAGAGAGAGAGAGAGAGAGAGAGAGAGAGAGAGAGTAGTACGTACGTACGTTACGTACTACGTACGTACGTACGTAGTACGTAGTAGTAGTAACGTAACGTAACGTAACGTACGTACGTACGTACGTACGTACGTACGTACGTACGTA